ATGCGCATCGGCTGGGGTTTTTTTGCGCTCCCCGTGGGGCTCGGGAACCACGCACGGATTTTTCTGCCCAGTGTTTCAAAATGTGTACAAAAGTACACCCAACGTGACATTCAAATACGTGATTAAGGCCTATAAGTTTCAATTTTAAAGTTGCCATTAGCATTTGACATTAAATTTATGGAAATATTTAGATTGTGGACAACGCATCTATTTGTAATTGTACTGGCTTTTAAAACCATGAAGTAACACATTAACTGACAGCTCTGTTTGAGTAGATAGTTTTCACAGACTCGGTTTAGTTTGCAGCTGTTTTGTCTGTAGGCATAGAGGGAGAGAAGGACAACTTTGTAGTAAAAATAGCAGCAGAATATTAATTTTCTTCTTTATTCTTGGTAAACAGGAGATTCAGATTTGCACCTTGGTTTGGCCCAGCATTGCAGGAGAAATAGCTTGGGATGTGACCTTTGCCATAGTTTTCTTTCTAATACCAGGATCAGTCATTGTCATCAGTTATTCCAAAATCTTACAGGTATGTTTTTCCTTTAAATTTTTTTCGTAGAACAAAGGGAAGTAAACAGTAACTCACTAGGCATCAACATACTGTCACTGAATACAAATACACCTAAAGGGGATAGACATGGTTTCCTCAGTGGATGGTAAGTATGTGATATAAAATGAGGCACTTCAACCTGTACATAACAGCCTATACGTTTCAACTAAGAACAGGCCTGAACAGCACATTACCAGAAGCCCAACACAAAGTTTCTCTTCATTTATATATAGTATTTAATACACTTCTCCATTATGTGCTGTTCATAGTTAGAGAGTATCAATCTCCTAAAATCGCCTCTTAAAAGAGTCAAGCATTTGAAATAAGTAAAAACTAGATTTTCCTTTCCTTGAGCCTAAACCAAGGAATTTCTAAGAAAGCAGAGAGGCAGGACTAGGAAAAATCCATCCCCTTTTAGATCTACTGGTTTTCTGCATGTATTTTAGTTCACAGATCTCATTAGATTACACTTATTCCTCCACAGTTTCAAACTTCACAAACAAAAACTGTGAATTAAACACTCTACTTCCACTTTCTTTCTGAGTGGATGTTGTTTGACTGCTGAAACATAGGCCAAGACACCAAGCATCACACAGTTTTAATCTATATTCTAGCAAGCGTGATCTTAGTTACCTAAATTCCTTTTAAAACATCTGATTTCATACCTCTTCCTCCTCCAAGACCGTGTAATCAGATATGTGAATGTAACAGACTTACTGTGCTATGCCAACTTCAGTGAAGACAGGGATGTAGAGCATGAGATTTAGCGTTTTCTGCAAGCTGTTGGGATTCAATACTCTACCTAATGACAGATGATTCACACCCATGAATACTAGGTTCCCAAACTACCCGTAGTCTGGTTTATTACATCAGACAGTACATTTACAGGACACAGATTTTCATAGTGACAAAAGGATCTGTAACATTTAAGGTTAGTTCATAGAAAGCAATTCTGATTACTGACTGAAAAACTAGAAGTTTACACAATGTAAAATTCCATTCAAATTTAAAATGTATTATGATTTAGTTACTGTAATAAATTCATGCTCCTTCTAATACTTGCCGTATAATATCAGCATGGCCGTAAGAATTGGATTGCGTTCCGTCTTGCGCATCAACAGGATTGCTAACTATGTTCCAGTTTGCATTTGTGAAAAAAATCAATGGGTTTATTTAGATAGAACAAATGAGGTCGTAACTTGAAGTTAATGGGATTTCATGAGTAATTAAGGCTCTGTTTTATGCTGAAAAGTATTTATGTCTGGTAGAGAGCCATGAGGAGAACAACCAGCTTGACTAGTATTGAGGTGAGTTCACAGCTGAGAGGAAAAAAAAAGTTCGTAAAGTAAGAATGTTTGAAATGGAAGCATTGACAAAAAGTAAAAGTGGACTTCTGCAATGCCTTTTTTGTAGTCACTTTTCAAAACAGAAATATCATGTGCCAAGATTTACTTTTGCACTTGGAAAAATGTGTGAATAATTCTTTTAGGTTTCAGTGAAAGTTACTTTCTTCTCTTGTTCCTGCAGATTACAAAAGCATCAAGAAGGAGTTTAAATGCTGGTTTAGCCTGCTCGGAAAATCATCAGATTCGTGTTTCCCAGAAAGACTACAAACTATTCCGCACCCTCTTTGTGTTGATGATCTCGTTCTTCATCATGTGGAGCCCAATTATCATAATTATTATTTTAATTTTAGTCCAGAACTACAAAAAAGGTTTAAATATTTTGCCATCAATTTTCTTTTGGATAGCGTTATTCACTTTTGCTAACTCTGCTGTTAATCCAATTTTGTATAATGTTGCCCATTTCAGACGCAAATGTCAGGAAATTCTTCTATGTTGTACAGGGAACCCTGTAAGGCATGGGGCTGGTACAGAAACCACTGCAAGAAGAAGTAACCATGAACAACCAAATTTGTCTTTCATCACCAGATAATTATTTGAAGTCTGAGCTGTGCCACACTTTGGATGTTAATGTCTACACTATCCCAGGTTGAATGGGTCACTATGTTATAGCCTTATATGCCAGAGAAGGAAAAAAAAAGTTAAATCTGTATTTTTAATTCCTGCAGGTAAAATTCTCTTGACTGCACTGCTTTGTCTAAGTAAGATTTGGACAATTTAATCCAATAGATTGAATTCTCCACTTACACTGAAATAAATAAGAATGTGGCAGTGAACTTGGTGAATGTGTTATAGTTGAAATAAGTACTTACAGACAAATTAATTTCTATGAGAGTACGTTTTCTGTTGGCATAAATGTCATTAACTTTAATGAAGTTACAGGGAATCTATATCAAGAGGGCACCTGATCCATTTTTACTCTGATTTTACTCCATTTTCTACTGAAAATGAGTAAGAGAGATCAACTTTCTAGTGAAAATGTACATCCTCATAAACTATCTGCTCTTTTTTTTACATCCCATTTAAAAAAGGCACTTGATTATACACCTAGACAACTGATTGCCTGAGCATACGTTTGGGCAGACTAAGCAATTTTGTGTAGGAAAACAGATTATAAACATGTATTATCACTAAGTGAATGACCAATTTTCTTCCATCTCAAGCTAAAAATATGGACATAATGCCTGTAATTTATAAATGAAGAATAAATAAACAAATGTTTACTTGTGTGTAAAATAGTTCTTTAAAATTATGCATATTTTTATGTCTTCAGTAGTCATATAATAAAGTTAATCAGTGATATATAGGGTCACTGAAATTCCTTCCTCTTTTCTAAAATGCTATTGGGAACGATTTCCAGTATTTCCTAGAAAAAGTATGATATTATATTTGAAAAGAAATTGCAAGTTTTAGAAAGCAAATACATTTATATATTTAATTAAAACTCTTTTAGTTACATATTGAAACTACTAAAAAAGGAATGATTGAATTCTAAATTATTGGCATCTGTCACCAATTTAAAACAGTGCATTAAGATAATGGTTTACTAATAAACCCAATGTCTACAGATGTACAGATGTGCATACAAACAATTTGCTTCCCCTGTAATCCAAGTTTATTAAAACGTTTCATTGGTTTATTAACAAGGTGAGCTACGCAGCTCAGATAAATATGCTCAAAATCTAAATGAAGCCGTTTAAAAGGTTTTCAAGAGAACACCCGATCAATGTGTTAACTTTACATCCATGGTGCTGTTACATGGTTCTTTCCATAGTGTTGGATCTCCTTAAGAGCAAAATCCTGAAACACACAAAAAACAAGATTTTGTTTTTCAACCACACTAGGCAAAATTAAAATACACAAACTTTCACCAAATTTAAAATGCATACGTATGTGATTTCTTTAAAATGCTCTTGAGTCCAGCAGTCCGTTACTTGTAGTGATAATGCCAATACCTTGCTTTGCAGTTTATAATTCCAAAGAATTTTCCACTCGGAACAAAACAGGAATTCATCCAACCTGTTATACCTGTCCTAAGCATTTTAATACTTTGGCAAACAAGGTACTGGATAGATCAGTGATAAAAGAGTTATTTATTTACTTTGACAAGCTTCAAATTATTTGCCTTTTAAAAATTATTAATCTAAGAATGTCTTTCAACAAAATAAGAATCTCCTGACCTCCAAAACTTCTAATGGCAATAGTAAATTAGCTGAATAATTCACAGTTTTTGGTTCTAGCAAATGCTAACAGCAGATTCAGCTTTCAGCTCTATGAACATGACGTTGTATTGTGTTTACACAATACAGTCCAGCTGTGATATCCACACTCACATTGCATAACCTAAAGCAACTTGAGCTATTACTCTGAGAGACTAAGTGTATCATAGTCTGATCCATATTTGGAAAGAAGCTACCATCAGAAATGCAATGTAAGTTACAACGAAAAAACTTGTCATTTTCTAGGCTTCTCTTTTGCCTTAAAGAGCCAGTATACCAAGAAAAGATATTTTAGATTTTTTTTTCCCATTAAGGTAAGTTTTGTACATCTGTTAGGGTTTTTTGGGGAACTTAAATTGAGTACAGTATTAATTTAAAAAGCTAATGAAAGATCTTTGGGGGGAAAAAAAATTGTCTTCAAGACATAGGCAGAGTATGCACAATTAGAAGCAGATACAAACCTATTCTTGCAGCATCAGATGTCAGTCAGGGTTTTACCACAATAACAATGGAATGCAGGTCAGTACAGATAACTGAAGTCGGCTTTTTTTGCAACTAATTCTGTAGCTCTAAATAGCAGAACTGAAACTAAAGTAGCAAGGCTTCCAATCCACACATAAGGAATTAAGTGAATTTTGTAAGAATCTCTGATATAAAGCTTTCAATAAGTAGTTTTTTCAGTTTAGCTCAGAAACATTGTCTCATTCCCAAATGTACTTGCTTTGCAGGAACTTTGGCTTAATGATACTGGAGAATTCAGAATCAACTAACACTATGGTAATTACAGGTCCTGATCACAGTAAGGGGAAAATGCAAATTGCTGGCTTTAAGTTTCATTTATACTTTGGTGCTGGGCTCATAAACTCTGGCATAATCCTCGATAAAAAGCAGACAGCATTAAGGACCTGGGCTACTATTTTTCATTTACAAACAGTATGGAACTCACACAGTCTTATTAGACACTGCACTCAACACCTGACATCTGAATATAAATTAGTATAGCAGACAAAGAATATAGCACGCAGTGCAACGTGGTAGATCTGGTATTTCTAGGACAAGCTAGAGGCAGCATGATCAACTTTTAAATTAAGGTTAGGAAGTCAAAGAATATTTAAGGCTGAAATTTCAAATACATTCTGAGCTTTTAGTTTTAAATTACACTATTGGTTCTATATTCTGTGAAAAAAACCATAAGTATTCTGATGTATAGAAGTTCTGAGATAGTTGAAAAAGTTATATCACAAATTACGAATAAATGAATATATTAAGTTTTTCATTTTGGTTTATACTTTCTTGCAAAGATTGACAATACATTTATTGCCTTGCAAGCCTCATATAGCATAGAAATAATAGAAACATGGATTCCACCACGCTGAATCAGACCAGTACTTGGACTAGCCTGATACCCTGATTTTACAGTGGGATAGTACTTTCTCTGGGTTTGACAGAAATGCAAGGAACCACCGTAACACACACACCTCAAAGCCACAGCAGAACAGCTGTGTATCTACACTTTATCTTAGACTTAATACAAAAACATTCCTAATCATCTCATTGTTTTGTTTTCTCAACTTTAGAAATTTTTATTCTTGCTGCACTTCATTTGAAGAGCAGTGAATGCAGCATTCAAAACAAAAAAGTATCATCAATTTATATAATGACATTGTTTCTTTTCTGTCCTACCAGTTATGCAATCATACACATCATTCACAAAAGCCAATTTCATTTGCAAATATTTATGATGTTTCTTAGTCTTGACTGCCTTAAATCTCAACTGTCTTTTATGTTGTCTCCAAATTCTCATTCAAGACAAAATTTTAATTTTCATTGTTGTCAGGCACTTTTTCCAGGTCACTAATCAGTATTCTAAACACCATCCACCTTAACAGATCTTTCAGGCGCCCTGTTATCAGCATACCTACTTTACAACATGGCAATATATCACTCTCTGTTTATAGATCAGATGAACAGGTAATAGAGCCACAAGAGCTGACTGTGCTCATCTGTTCTGACTTTCTTTATATTACACAAAAGTTCCTTCAGTCAATCTCAGTTTATTCTAACACATCATTTAGAAAAGCCTTTAATCTTGATTTACAGATTTTAGTGATGAAGAACATACAACAGCTCTTGGTAAACTGTTCCAAAGGTTAATGACCTTTGGAGTTAAACAAATGGCTATTTATTTCTGCTCTGAATGTGTCCAGTTTAAAGTTCCATCCATTTTAATTTATTATTCCTATGTTTGCAAGTCCTTTATTATCCAATTCCCATTGCTTGTGTGGGCAAGTGCAGACTTTGCTCAGGTCAGCCTTTAACCTCTTTTGATGAGAAAAGATCAAGGTCTTTGAAGCACTCACTAGGGCACACATTTTTCAAACTTTCAATCATTTTCTCTGCTCTTCTTTGAAACTTCTAATTCATCCTCAGTACCCTTTCCAGTTATGATTACTATCAAATGTGACATAGCAAGCAGACCTATGCCAAGCACAGCAGTCTCATATGAGTCTGTAAGTTCATCTTTTGCATCTTTAGTTTATGTATCCAAGAATCACATTAACTCTTTTGGCCACAGCATTACACTGAGAGTTCACATTCAGCTGATTCACCAGTCAAGTCTTCTGTACATATCGTGTCTTCCATAATGCAAAGGGGGTGGGGTGGAGTAGGGATGGGTACACTATTATTTTATTTGTCCTAGATATGTTGATCTGTCTTCTTCATTCTTTACTATTCCCCGCTCTGGGTGTAATCTCTATCAGTAAGTATATTACGTTTCCTTCTAGTTGATTGATTAAAGTAGCATAAATTAGCATTTGGCCTTTTCTAATATACTTGAGCACAAGTGAGCTAATCTGTATCCTACCCTGTGGTGCAAGCTCAGCCTGACTACATGACTCAAGATAAGGTCATACTTCCAGTATAAGGGATATGTCCCTCTTCCACATCCCTTTGTGAAATGGTTGGCATAAGGACCTGTGAGAAAAGGTCTGCTATGAGGTATCCTTCTGATTTTCCTTAAAAGCCTTTTACGTAGAATTTTTCAAAGAAGTTTTTGAAAATACATTCCATTCCCTTCAACAACTATTTTGTTGTTGAAGGGAGAGTTCTGACTAAAGAGATACAGTTTCTTTTGACAGCAACTATCAAGTTTATCCTTAACTGTGTTTACTCATACTACATTCATTTAATTGTTTTACAACTTCCTCTAATTATTGTTTCAGCTGATGTGATACGCCACATAAAAAGCTATACACCTTAGCTCTCCTTCAGATAAGGGAAGTAAAAGTTGGAAATAAATTACTACAAGCTCCAGTTTTCAAAAGACAATATTACAGCCACTAAGTAAAAGACAATGCATTTGCTATTTAATGAGCAACAGACTCCCAGTGCTTTAGTCATTAAACCCTGAAATAAAATTCTTCAGAAAAAATGTTCTTACCATTATGAACGATAACTCTGTATTTTCTGTCCAAACAGAGGTCTATCTGCCTTTGTCTGACAATTTTCTGTGCCTCTGGAGGCAATCCCTTGGGGTCCCGGGAGAACACAAAGGAATAGCTATCAGCACAAGTGCCATCTTCGTTTAGTTTGCGGCAGGAGTAATGAAGAGCATATGTATCATAATCTGTGTCCACTATCCAGTGATCATCATCTGGAAGAAACCATAGCAAAGAAGCAAAGGTGTTAGAGACACCAGTAAAATCTAGTAAATCTAAAGAGATTGCTGCCATAACCCTGCAAAGAAAATAATACAATGAAGATTGGTATAAATGATAACAGATTAGCTCTTAGTTTACTCCTGTGTCCAGCATTTATTTCCATGTTTTGGAGGGAGGGTTTTTTTTTAAAGAAAATAAGCATTTTCATCAGGGACAGTGACAGAAGGAAGTGGAAATGGTTGGCACAACTGCTTCTCTTCTAACACATGCACAGAACAAGAGCAGCATGAAGAAATGCTAATAAATGCCTTGTAAATCCATGCCTGAACATCATTATAAAATGTGGCAACAAACACAAAAAAGAACCATGTATTACAGTAGCTACCATGAAGTACAAAGAAAGTTTTCTTATTTTAACCAAAAAAGGGGGTCAGAAAGAAAATAGTTTAAAAAACAAAGAGCGAAGTTAAACATGCTCTTGGTCATGCTAGTCATGCTCTAGATTACTCAAAACCGTAACTATTTTCCTACAGGGGATGTTACTTTAAAAACTGCATTTTTAAGAAAATGTATTATCATGAGTTTCCATGTGTGTTAAAAGTGTATTTGCTACAAGCTTTATCATAAACCCTCTTCTCAAAACACAGTTACAATTTCAGAGAATTCTTAACTTATTTAGCTAGGTAATCTGATAAATACCTGGTCACACAGACACCCTGTGCTAACAGAAGTGAACCTAGGTATTTGCAGTAGAAAGTGTCATCTCTACACCTTCCTCTCCTGGAACAAAAGATCCTCCCTTGCACTATGTCTGCACTGGTGAAGGCAACACTGTATGTTCTCTTCCCCATCTCTCCTGTGGGTGGGGACCACAGTTTTTAGAAAGGTAGAGTCTGGGGTCAGTCAGCAATCTGAAGTAC